GGGGGAAATCCACCGTGGTGGGGCAATGGCGCCAGAAGTGGTGGGGGGGCCAGGTGGAGGGGGTTTGTTTTGACGCGCCATACGTGCCCACGTACTACTTGCGACGCATTGGACACAAAGAAAAAGTCGACCGCTGCGTCGACATTTTTAATAAAATAATAATTTAAATAATTACTGAAACGTGTAGAATAGCTTAAGAATAAGTAGATAAAAATAATTACACTTTAGTAAGGGACAAGTGGTCTCGCGGACTGAGTGAATTTTGCATGGGCTGCGAATATGGAGATCTCGAGCTCAAATCCCACAATCACTTTTAGGATTTTCTCCGGGCCTAGTACTTTTCATCGAGTTAATCAGTTAATCGGCAAACTGAATCAGGCCTCCAAAGATTAATTCGAGTGAAATTTTGAATTAATTCTCCTCCCACACAATTGATTACCATTAAATATATATATTGTCTGTTTTAACATGTTGCATTTTTGCTAAAATTTATGACTCAGCACGTGTTGTTGGCAACTTGTTGTCATATTGCTCTTTATGTTAGTGATAAACCGTTGACAGCAAACACACAACAAATTGTCGGCAACACATGTTGAATTGTGTCATGTCAAACTAAAGACAAATGCCTGACTCACCTTGTTCTAAATTTGCTGAAAACTCAAGCGTTTTGTTTTCGGCAACATAACAGCAAAAACGCAGACAGGTGGCTATTAGGGGATGTACAATGACACTTGGTGAGAATAAAATATGGAGATAAGAATAAAAAGAAAAATAATTGTATATTGTGTCGGTAGATTTTTTTCATCTCTCCACGAACGAAAACTGCACATGTACGGGCTTGATAAAATGAATCGATTCTGAACTTTACAAACAATAAACTTTAATTCTTTACAGTTAATAATACAACGAAAAAAGACTTCGCGGTTAGAGATATGCGATCGGTTATACGGCTGTTGCTTGAAAGTCCTGCTCTCTGTAGGTGTTTACATCTTATATATTATCGACAGCGCTATTGATCGAATATTCTGGCGTCGATTTATCGCACATATCGAACGGCGCGAGCAAGTCCTCAACATCTCGCCCATCAATTAATTGCCGATTAATTGATTCCCCAATTGCTTAATTTTAGTCGTCGAGGGGCATCTTACACAATTTTGTAATCGGTCGCTTAGTAATACTGGTGTCCAGCTTGACGCTTACAACTCGGGCCTTGTCATCGACACCCGGATGAAGAGCAATTACTCTACCGAGTTTCTGTCTCAAAGGCGGGGTGTTCTCGTTAACAATTAAAACTATATCGTCGATTGCTAAGTTTCTTTTGCTGTGTTGTCCATTTACATTTGCTTTGCAATGACGTCAAATACTCATTCCAAACACTACATTCCATTGCTTCTAAAAACTAATTGCCACCTACTTAATTAGGTGGCAATTAGTTGATTAGGTGGCACCTACTTAATCTATTAATGGGAGTATCAATCAGATTGATATCTGGCAAGTTTGTTAACGGCTGGCCAATTAAAAACTGCGCGGGGGTGAGTGGCTGTAAATCATTTGGACTTGACGGTAATAGACGCAGAGGTCTAGAATTTAGATACGCTTCAATCTGAATCAGAACAGTGCTAAGCTCTTCAAACGTAAGCTGAGTTTCTCCAACGATTTTCTTTAAATGATACTTGCACGATTTTATTCCTGCTTCCACCATAAGTCATTCATATGAGGAGCATGAAGAGGAATAAAATTCCACTGAATATTCTTAGCCGTGCAATACTTATTTACTAACTTTGAAAACGCGCCCCTAACGGCCTCGTATAATTTATTGAGTTCATTGTTTGCACCTACAAAATTAGTAGCATTATTGCTGTATATTTTCTGTGGATGACCGCGTCTTCCTACAAACCGACGCAATGCACTCAGAAATGCATCTGCAGTCAAATCGCTGACTGCTTCCAAATGAACAGCTTTTGTCGCAAGACATAAATAGCGCAAGACATAAATATATTTGTTCGTTCTTTGTTCTCAGTCCTTGCTCACTAGCGTGGTAATCGGACCCGCGTAATCGATTCCGACGATGGCGAACACCCGATGGCAAGCTACTCTATCTGAGAGTAACATTCCCATAATCTGATTCAATGGTTTAGGATTGTTTCTAAAACATGTTATGCACTTGCAAATTATCTTGCGAGCTATATTGCGACCGTTCAACGGCCAATATCTCTCACGAATCGAGAAGAGTAAAGCTTGTGGATCCGCATGCAGCATTCTTTGATGCTCTTTTTCAAAAACAACATGGTAAGTCGACTCTTAGCAAGCAATAAAATAGGATGCTTCTTATTATAATTCAACGCGGATTTCTGCAACCTGCCGCCCATCCTGAGGATTCCGCTGCTGTCAACAAACGGAGTCATACCCGCGAGAGCACTGCTCGGTTTCAGACGATCGCCGCTGGACAGTTCATGTAACTCTTTTGTAAAGAATTCTCTTTGACAATGTTTGATTAATTTTACATGTGCTGTGTCTAACTCCCGTATTGGCAAGGTTTCATAGATACGATTCGAAAATTTGCGTCTTGAATTCAAAATAAATCGATGACACCAAGCTATTATTCTTTCAACCATCGTCAATGACGAAAATTTTGACAATATTTCTTTTATTACGGAACCAGACGCGATTTATTAGAACTCGAGTTTCTTTCTTTTGTTCAGATCGTACAATCTCTAACTCTTGATGCGAAAGCTCAAAAAATTGAGGCTGACATTGCAGTTGTGAATTGATATTCGAAAGCCAAGGTGAACCTGACCACTGCAATGAATCCGCGCGCAAATCATTGAAGCTGGTTTCTCGCGAAATCAAGTCAACGGGTTTTTCTCTCTTTGCAACGTGTCTCCAATGATTAGCCAGTAAAATTGATTGTATTTTGCTGACTCTATGCGAGACAAACGGTTTTTGTTGACCCACATCACCGGCTATCCAAGCGAGAACAATCGTTGAATTGCTCCATGCATAAATGCGGTGAATCTTAATAGGTGATGATTCAAGGATCAACTGCACTAGGTTAACTAATATCATCGCTCCACACAACTCGAGTCGCGGAATCGTTGGTTTCTTGATCGGAGCTACACGCGACGCACTTGGCGCACAGTAATCTCGAAACAACCTGATTTTTCCTGTTTATTGCTTGAACATATATACAGGCACCGTAGGCTTGATCAGAAGCATCGCAAAATGCATGTAAGTTAATGTACAATGGGTCCGAACATCCTATTACTTGCTTGGGTATCCGCATCGCACAAAATGCCGTCAAGTCTCGCGCATAATCCGACCATATCTACATCTACATATCTACAGGCAAGTCGTCCAATTCCATTCGAGATTCAACTGCCATGCGCGTTGCATAATTAACTTAGCTTTAACTACCATTAGACTTGCCAATCCCAAAGGATCAAATAATTTTGAAATAGACGACAGCACATGTCGCTTTGTTCGCGCATCAGGCACAGCGGCCGAATCAAACTGAAAGGTATCTGATTTAAGCACTCATTGAAGACCTAAGGTTTTCCTAATATCTCGCTTGTCAGTTATAGTCTGAAAATCACTTCTGTCGCTGTTATCTATAACCCGAACAACTTCTCGGTATAATTTGATCGCCATTTATGCAACTCGAATTGACCTAACTGTAATAATTTTAGTAACTCGTTTATCAATTGCTTCGCTTCCATAATATTGTCTACTCCCGTTAAAATATCGTCTACATATAAATCTCTTAAAACCGTTCGCGATGCGTGTGAATAGTGATTTTCAGCTTTACTTGCTAATTGTTGCATGCTTTTTACAGCTAAAAAAGTGCATATGATTGTCCGTACGTGACAGTATTCAACCTATAATCTCGTATTGGCTCGTCTGACAATAAACGCCATAGAATTTGCTGATCTCGGTCGCAATCATGAACGAGAATCTGTCTACATCTTTTGCAAATCGGCGGTTATTACCACAGAATGTATTCGAAATTGTAATATAATATTAATTATTGGATCCTGCAATGTGGCACCGACCATCTCTGTATCGTTCAATGACAAACCAGAACTAGTCTTGCACGAAGCATCGAACACAACTCGAAGCCTCGTGCTAACGGCCGAATCTCGCCATACTCCATGGTGAAGTAAATAAACAGCGTAATTTGTTGTTGTTATTGGGACAACTGTCACATGATTTAAATTGATATATTCGCGCATAAACTTCATGTACAATTTTTTAAATAACTCATTGCTTCTAAATTGTTGCTCTAAATATAACAATCGTTTCTCAGCCGTTATCTGAGATTCACCGAGCTTATTCTTATTATCGCGAAAGGGCAACCGAACGATAAATCTTCCGTCAACATCTCGCACGTGAGTTCTTGTAAACATGTTTTCACATGCTTGTTCCTCACTTAACAACACTGTTTCGCGATTCAAACATTCCTCAATTTCTCAGAATCTTGCCATAGACTCGTTTAATGAAGATTGCGTTCTCAGGCAAACTACGAGATTTGATTTGTGTGGGGTAATGCTTTGAATCGGGACTGGATCAGAAATAATTCAATCGAATTTTGTATTATGTAACGTTGGCATGTCAATTCCAAGCTCTTTGTAGGCTCTAGTAGACTCAAGAAAAACTCACGTCGAGCAACATATCGATTTGACTCAAGTGAAAATATTTTGGATTGGCTAATTTAACAGTATCTGTTATCGCAAAATCTCTCGCATTAATAGCGATAGAAGGCAGATCTCGGGTGATTTGCGGCACAACAAAACAAGACGCGGACAACCGATAATCCGTTACTCGCGACTTTATTGTAATGCGACAACCTCGAGTTATTGTGCATGCTAAATTATTTATTCCAGTAATCTTTTCCTGGGTTAGTGTTCACAGTTTTGGCTTCCTTACAGCATGCTAAAGCAGTGAAAGGGATGCGCACAATAGTAACGAGTTCTAATTGCATAAACTCGCTGCTGTTGGGCGCATCCCTTCTACCGCTTTAGCATGCTGTAAGGAAGCCAAAATTGTGAACACTGTCCTGGATCTTCCTTGGTTTAATATTCAATTTGGCGCAAGCTGTGCTGGTTATAAAATTTGCTTTGCTGACACTATCGAGTAATACACGGATAGGTTGACTAAATTTGCTAGAATTTTTAACATTTATTAATGCTGTTGACATTAGAGTTTGACCAAAACGCGTGCGTCCGGAAATATGATGTACAGACAGATTGACGCTCAAATCGATATTCCGAACAGAAGACCGGCCAAGTGGTCTCGCGGCCTGAGTGCAGGGGCTGCGAACCTGGAGGTCCCGAGTTCGAATCTGCTTACCATCTAAGGATTTTTTCCGGGCCGGTCCCTTTCAACCAAGTTTATTGGTTGATCGGCGAACGTAATCGGGCCTCCAATAATTAATTCGGGTGTATTCCCGAATTAATTCCCCTCCCACAAGGCGATCTGAGTCACAACACCTTGAGCACGAACCCGACACAGATAGGCACGCCCACTGTGAAAGACGGCCGTGTATCGCGTGGTTGTAGTCCCCACTGCACATCCCCTCTCCTCTCGGGAAAAAAACGAGAGCATAGAGTAACAAAAAAATCAGAGAAGATAATGTGTGTCATATAGCCAACAAAACCGTGCAGGTGGCTGAAAGGCACGTTAAATACCCGAAAGAAAAAAAAAGATATTTCGAACAATTTCTTCCGCAACGGATTTTGCCTTGGAAACCGCGAGAACCTCGACGCATAAATCCCTTTTTTCCGCATGACACAAAGTGTTGTGTATTTCCAAACACACTCTGCAAGAACTCGCTTTACATGTACCAACAAAATAATTCGATCGATTTTTAAACAATTGTAACAAAGTTTCAGTCGCTTTAGTAATTCAACTCGCTCCGGTATTGAAAGACGCAAAAATTTTTCACATGAATATATGAAGTGAGCTCCCTTGCACACGTAGCAACGTCCTGCAGCGTAGCTAGACTGACCGATGTATTTCCTGGCCTGTCCTTCAATGTTCTCATGTTGTCACTATAATCAGTCCTTCCGACCTTAGATCCGCTTCCCTTGAAATCTGAATGTTCCTGGTTTCTTGATTTGCCCAATCACATAATGAGTTTACCGTAACGCTTTGTTTACTCTCCATGCTCTCCTCCCAATGACGACGAGTAATCCGGTCCAACCTTTCTTCCATCATGTAGAGCACCAAAAAATCTCACCACGGCTCGACAGCAGAGTCTCCCGATTTCACAATTCGCAAATGCTTGCGAAAGTGATCGATTAAATCCTGAATTGCAACGGCTGACTCTCTTTCAACCTTGAGGGCCTCAAATAGACATTGTCGTCGTTTTAATGTCTTCTCGTTTTCGTAATGGCCCTTCAACAGCGTTTATGCCAATTTGTAATTTGTTGCTGATATCTCTACAGATTCTATGACCCTTGCGGCGCTTCTTGACAACGCACCAGCCAAATAGATATTTTTTGACCGCTGATAACTTACTGTTGTGAATCAAGGTCGTGAAGGCATCGGAAAACTGTTTCCAGTTCTGCAGTTTACCCGAAAAACTCGGCAATGTAATATCGATAATTTGACCTTGGTTTCAACAAGAGAGACGCGTGGCGTGCTCGTAGCACTTAATGTTCTAATTAATTCGGTTTGTTGTTCGAGCGCACGCGCAATCGAGTCGCTAGCACTTGCAGTCGTTGCTGTGATCGCCGTCGGTTCCGTCTTCGCAATAGTCTTCTTCAAAAATACCTTGAGCTCAATATATCGACCATTGAACTCATCCTCCTCTTGCTGATCCTCCGCAAGGAGTTCATCTTCCTTAACGGCACTCAACAATTGTAATTCTTCGAACTCCTGATAGTTCTTTTTCAACTTGTTTGCATATATAGTGAGCGTCTCCACATCAGTAGCTACTCGTTTATTGAGCACGTTTTCCGCAAATCTACGAATATTCGTTTGCTTAGCTTTAGCATATCGTCTCCTTTTCCGTATGCCATTGCAGTCGTCATTCATGTTGCTTGTTTAGCACCTTGATCGTTTGCCTTGCCACGAACACAACTTCCAAATCCCGGCACAATATCACCGAATTCACGCACAATTGAACTCTCCGGTAAAACAATCCGGCTTGAAGGACCATGTACGGGCTTGATAAAATGAATCGAATTCTGAATCTTACAAACAATAAACTTTAATTCTTCACAGTTAATAATACAACGAAAAAAGACTTCGCGATTAAAGATATGCGATTGGTTATACGGCTGTTACTCGAATGCCCTGCTCTCTGTAGGTGTTTAAATCTTATATGTTATCGACAGCGCTATTGATCGAATATTCTGACGTCGACTTATCGCACATATTGAACGGCGCGAGCAAGTTCTCAACAGCACGGTTATTCTATCGCCAAGCGTAAAAAGTAGTCAAGTGAATATAATTTTTAGTAATACGCTTTTATAAACTTTTTAACGATATAGACAGGTATTTATATAAGTTATAACAGCTCTGTATTTAATCTTCACTTTACTATGATACAGTTTTGGACGTACAGTGGAAAATCGCTTGTTCTTTTTTTCGAACAATTTTATTTATTTAAAAGCTGGCTTGTTGTAATATCATAACAATTGCGAGCAGAACTCATAAGAGAGATGGTATGGAGCGAACGTAGATCAGTTGAGTTTGACGACTTCTCTAGTTTTGTTATGAGTCACACGACAGATAAGCGCAATGACGTGAGTGCGCGACAAACATACGTGCTTGTGTGAAACGCACCCGTCTTCCGGCCACCGGAAAAGGTCATGAAGAACATTAGTATATTGCGACCCTATCCTCTGCTTGCGTTTGCTCACAAATCCTAAACGCATTTCCCACCGAGATATCCCTTTGTCTCGATTACTTCAGCGGAAGCCTTTGATTTGAGAGATGAACGACGTGATTCAAACGTAAACGCTGTGCGCACCTCCATGCGACAACGAGAGAGTAAGATAAGTGCTAATGTCCTGATTATCACGCGCGAATAAAACTTTGCAACGGATCCGCTCGAAAAAACAGCATTGAAATTGCCAACATATATAAGAACGCCGTGTAAAAACAATTAAAGAGCAAAAATGGTACATTTTTAAGTGCAAAAGCTAAACTAAATTTTTATAGTAAAAAAATATGTATATGCGACATAAAATAAATATAGCAAATTGACCTTTTAACATTTTTCTTGAAAAATACAATAATAATGATATATTTTTTTATATGCGACGAACATAGGTCTGTTTTTTTTTTTTTTTTATTGAGTAAGCATTAGGAACGTTCTGTATATTTTTTCCGGCTGAACTTCTGAAAGGAGAACTGACCTGAGAGAAGCGACTTGTTTTTGCAACAAGATAGGATTTTGTAATTTAGAGATAGTCGAGCTTTACGAGATAGAAGTTTATTGGTTTACGTTTATTTTTATCTTACCGATTGATTTTACCTCAAAACTAAATATTTTATTTCATCTCCGAAAACTAGAAAATATTATGATGTTTTTTTTGTATAAATACAATGTAAGATACAGGAGCCAGGTGTTTGTGCGAATATATATATGTATATATATTTTTAAAATATATATACAGGGTGAAAACTAAGAAAATATGAATAAGGTCATAAGAGCCGTTTTTGCAGTTTTGTTATTCATATTTTCTTAGTTTAGACTTCAGAGTCCTTAGTTTCTTTAATTTAATATTTTTTTAATTGTTAAAGAATTGTTAAATGTTTCTTTAATTGTTAATATATACAGGGTGTCCCTAAATTAAATGTCAATACTTCGAGAACGTGTAGAGAATTGAACTAAAAAGAGAAGTCTTTTAGAAATTTACTCGTTTTTATTTAAACTAAAGGCCGATACGAGCATTAAAATACAGGTTGGTCGTGTATAATAAGTTGTCTTTATTCAATAAATATAGACGTTTCGGTCACACAATTTTGGACCTTCTTCAGTATGAAAATTAAGTGATTTGTGGATATCCAGTTTTTCAAAGAAATTGCGCTGGTAATTCCAAAATAGATGGTGATGAAGTGAAAGAAAGAGTTAATCCTGAAATCCGTAGAACGCTTCATTGCAGCCAGCGTGAAAAAATCAATCAATCGCTCGTGAAATAGTCAAAAATATTTAAACTAAAGGCCGATACGAGCATTAAAATACAGGTTGGTCGTGTATAATAAGTTGTCTTTATTCAATAAATATAGACGTTTCGGTCACACAATTTTGGACCTTCTTCAGTATGAAAATTAAGTGATTTGTGGATATCCAGTTTTTCAAAGAAATTGCGCTGGTAATTCCTGAAGAAGGTCCAAAATTGTGTGACCGAAACGTCTATATTTATTGAATAAAGACAACTTATTATACACGACC